CAACTTCACATTCTTAAAAATATCAAAACAGCCCTGACCGGTTTGGCTCAGTGGATAGAGCGTCGGCCTGCGGACTGAAAGGTCCCGGGTTCGGTTCCGGTCAGGGGTGTGTACCTGGGCTGCGGCCACATCCCCAGTAGGGGGTGTGCAGGAGGCAGCTGATCGATGTTTCTCTCTCATCGATGTTTCTGACTCTCTCCCTTCCTCTCTGTAAGAAATCAATAAAATATATTTTAAAAAAATTTCATATCTTAATATGTAATCAGGTAATAATTTTTACAAAAGAAATACTAAAATAATATAGATATGTGAGGATTGTTAAGAACATACGAATTGTTGCCCCAACCGGTTTGGCTCAGTGGATAGAGCGTCGGCTTGCGGACTGAGGGGGTCCCAGGTTCGATTCTGGTCAAGGGCATGTACCTTGGTTGCGGGCACATCCCCAGGACGGGGTGTGCAGGAAGCAGCTGATCGATGTTTCTCTCTCATCGATGTTTCTAACTCTCTATCCCTCTCCCTTCCTCTCTGTAAAAAATCAATAAAATATGTATTTTTTTTTTAAAAAAACATACGAATTGTTGACACGAGTTTTCATTTAATAGAATTCACTGGCATTAGCTTCTGCTCAGTACTATTTGAGTCACGGTCCTGGCGGATTCTTTTTAAGTCCAGTCTGTTGCTGTGTTTACATTGCTGAACTACTGTAGTGATGTCCCGACTGCTTTCCAGTCCTTCCTTCATTTTCCATATTGTTCTGGAATGATCTTTCTACAGTTTCTCTCTGTTCCTGTTGTCCCTTCACTTAAGATCGTTCAGTGGCTTCAAGTGTAGACTTCTCTGGCTGGGTGGAGCCTCTTCAGAGGTCCCCAGAGTGGCCACCACTTTATTTCTTTCTCTGAGGTTTTATATACTGTTTCTGCACTTCCCACCCCCTCTCCCCCATTATCCTTTTGTCTTCTGCACACCTTCCCACCTGCCACCCAACAAACACACACATGCTCATCTTGCTTCTATTCATCCTCAAGGGCTTAGCTTTTTGGACATCACCTTCTCAGCAGTCTTTTCTGGTGATACTGCCTCCCTTCTTTCCTTCAGCATCAGGTCTAGATTAGGTGTGACTGCTGGTTACTTCCGCAGCATTCTCTTCCTTGTTCATTGTGACCATTATTCCACTATGTTGTTGCTACCTGTTTTTATGGTTTTATAATCTTCCTTAAAGATAATAAGAGCTCTAAGACAAAGATCATGCTTTTCTTTTTTTTTAATTTCTTTATTGATTAAGTTATTACATATGTGTCCTTATCCCCACATTACCCCCCATCCCCCCCACCAAAGATCATGCTTTTCTATCCCAAGTGTCCAGTACAGTGTTTGCATAACAAGAAGTTATTGAATAATTTTGTCATAGTGTTAGATAGTTCTTGTATTTCTGAGTATTTTTCTTAAATGTTCCTTTTATCTGTTGGATGTTTTTAGTACATCGACTCCATTGATCTGGAGCACACCACTGAAACTGAGGACCCTGTGAAATTCCATGAAGCGTGGCAGAAGCTATGCAAAGCTGAGTGAGTCCTGGGGACCGTTCACCCTAGTTAGGAAAATGACACTGTGCTTTTTCTGTAAGGATTTGATTGACCCAATTATTAAATTTTGCATTTTGAAAGGTAGCCTGGAGTACTTATGGTCATTATGGGTGGTTGTGAAACATTCACATCACATTTACTTTTCTTTTTTTCTCTTC